GGATGACTTTTGAATATACAAATTTTATATCCAACATTGTTGAAATGTAATTACGTAGAAATCAACATGGAATATATTTCTATGTCTACATCATTTCTGTATTTTTCCTTTGCTTTTTTAAGGAAACTGGGAAAAAGGTTGACATTTCTGTGTTTGGAAAAGTACAGAGGAAGGGCCTTGCGGATAAAAAAAGTCCCCTGGGGGGAGGCGACAGAATTAACCTACCCCTTGTGGTTTGAATAAGTAACTTGCAACATCTTCTGTGAACCCAAACGTTGGTGCTTCTCCAACAGCAGCTGGCAACTGACAGACAAAAGAGAAATCTTTTATTGGGATTCCTGTCCTCCAAAAAGGGACAGGCAGCCCAAAMCMAAGAACTATGAAGAAGTCAAATTGACATGGTTTATACAATTTCAAAAATGGTGGTCGATCACAATCGMCAATATCTGCCTTCCATCTAGAAATCACTACAAAGATAGCATGTAGGCAGTGTCCAAAAGTTTGAAAKATGTATTGGTATTTATAGCAAAACACACTGACGCCTTCGAATTTCACTATACAGAGGCTGGCCTTTGAGACCTCATTTTAGAGYTTTTAGTGCTTGAATCCTTRWATAATATTGATAATATGATTTTAGCATGATAATACTGGATGTACCTGTAAAAGTTCGCGAAGATAAGCCTCAAATTTGGGAAAATTTAGAATGCCRCTGTCATCCTCAATCTGAGAAAAGTGATCTGTGGACAAATGGACAGACAGACGGTAATACAGGCACAGAGAGAGACAGAAAGCCAAGAAAGACAGTAAGTGGAACACACCAACAAAACTGACAGATGGATTTACAGACAGAGAGTGAGACAGACGGACAGACAAACAGATGGATAAAGAAACAGATACGTAGCAGACAGACAGTTTTCTGTGTGAACAGGCAAGAAAGGCAGACAGATTTATTGACACAGGAATGATGTTTCTTACATCTCAGCTTGTCTACCAATCGTCCATAGCATAACGTAGACAAAGCAGTTTTGACAGACAGTACTCTTATCCTACCAATACCATCGCTGCAAAGACATATAGTTGGAATCATTATTGTTAGAACTAATATATGAATAACTATAATCAAACAAATAAAATGTTTCATATCATGTTCAAACTTATCCAACAATATTTCATATCATTCTTAAACTTGTCCAATGATATTTCATATCACACTTAAACTCATCCAATAATATTTTATATCATTCTTTAACTCATCCAATAATATTTTATATYATACTTAAACTTGTCCGATAATACTTCATATCATATTCAAATTCATATCATATCACACTTGAAATTATCAAATAATACTTCTTAATATAGCTTAGCATTACATTACCTGTCAAATGCATATAGCAGCCAGTTCGTCACCAAACTGATAGATTTCTCAACATCAACATTATGTGAAGTGGGCAGTCTTTTATTCAATGCATAGAAGATGCTAGAAACTACCGCCTCAAGTCTTAGTTCATGGAGTTCTGTGTTGTGGTCTAAAGTATTAAGACCATTCTCACGGAATGCTTCTATCATATTGTACACATCAACTAGGTGTACTGAAAAAAGAAATCAAAATCAAATTTTACATTGCTACACAACAGGGAAAGCCACTAATTGCAATAATCCATTTAATAGTTTACTCACRGTTGGTCTTCCTTTGGATAAAATGTAATTTAGCTGCTGTTCTGTATGCCGCAAACTGTATATTGTCAAAACTCTGATCATCTAAWAACATAAAGGTAGAGTGCAATTACTTGAAAAGTGTTTTTTTTTTAAATAGTGTAATGTCGACTGTTTGATAAAGTGTTATATATATAAAATACACAAAAAATGTGTGAAATAAAGAGAAATAAAGTATGGTATTTTCATAGGTTTATGGAAACCACTCCAATCTGTGAAACAAATAATATATTATTCACCGGTATATAGTGTTGGTTAGATAATAAAAAAYAAAGCGAACTCGACATTGTTCTACTTCATTTGACTTACTCATTTCAGTGATTAGTTCCTGCAGGATTTGTTCAGCTTCATCTTTGGGGATGGATTCATTTAGGATGCTAAAGCAGTAAAATGATAGAGAGGCGACAGTTYATATACAACATCGAGACAATAAGCTATAATTTGGCAACAAACATGTAATGAWTTGAATTTGTTGTAGGTACTCACTTTGCCGACATGATTGGTGAAACTGTCCCTTCCATGCTGATACTCATCTTCCTATAAAATAAAAAAAGAATGGTTGGATGGATGGATGGGAAAAGAAATGAATGGATGGACAGACAGACAGCTAAACATTAGGATGAATGATGKGCAAATAAATGGAGTGARCAGGCCCCACCAAGCCTGATGTTTTCAAATTGCAATTCTACGTTTAGTCCTGCAATTCAAAAAACACTTACAGACTTAAAAATCTAAACAGTGAAAAATAATTCAAGATCAAGTAGACTGTGTTTATAGCCAGTAACTATGCCTATCATTTTACAGCGATTAAGTAATCGTTTTACTAGAATTGTTCATCTAAACTCACTCTTGTGGAATGAAAACTGGACCGAATTCTGTATCTATGACCCAGTCATTTGTYTTAGAATCTTTTGAATCTTTCTCAAATTCAACTTGCTTTTGCTTCTTCTTTTCTTTTGTATTCTTTGGAGCTGAATGTGAAGAGTTTGTCAACGTTTCATTTTGTTTGACACCCAACCATTCACTTTGTTTGACCATCATTCTTTTGAAAATACTTTTTTTAAAAGGGAAAAGGTTTTTGTAGCAAATCCAGAGCACAATTCTAGTCGATATTTGAACTAATTTACTCAAACTAAACTTAAAGGCTTAATAAAGTATTAAAGTAAGTGCAATATATCATGTAATATTGTCTTAATTAAGGGATGATTGACAGTCCATGTATGTCTCGTCAACGTTACCTAATTAGATGAAAACATTTAAGCTTCAGTATATTATGGCCAAAGAGACAAGCCACAAACAAAGTAAATTAAATCATGAATTATAACCATATGTTGTGGAACATTATCCTCTACTCAGTTAAAATGTGTCATGAAAATTACACCATTATAAAATACCTTTCAGTAACTTCTAAAATAACAAARAAATGTGGTAAAATCGACACCAAACCCACGAAACACTACAATATTGGCATGATTTTTGGGTTGAGCAGTCTCAATCATTACGAAATGATGGCAGCAATTTATTAAATTATGACAAATTGGGTAAAAATGGTTAAAAATGACTTTTTTATGACCAAAATTCCGTAACGGTATTGTAATACAGCGATTTGATTACCGCAAGTATGTGGGCTACATCCGYTTAACATTGTGACTTCAAAATCCACACCTTAATTCAAAATATAAACAAATTTTACTATTTTCAACTTAACAATTGTTGACAACTCGACTACGATAATCAAAGTTGTTCATTGCGCGTAGACGAACAGCATTGCGTGACATACAGATACGTGCAAAAATAATCTTTCGAAAAATCAATGTGAATCATTTTTGAAGTGCTATCAACAAAGAAAACAGCGGTTTGTCAACTACGAAAGAGTAATTAATAAAATGAATATATTTTTAGCTTTTGGAAGCTCCATATAATCTTCTCGGCGGATTGTTGTGCATAACTCCCGACGAAAGCACTCGAAGATCAATATTGCGATACGGAGAGGTAAGCTCGGGTTAAAATTTTACAAATTCATTTACGATATCACATAATCAAGTAACATCKAGCCTGAATGAATTCAATGCACAGTACAAAACTACAAAAGAGAGATTATCGCAGCAAGAATTGGCTTAAACCATACACAATTGGAGTGTACATTTTGCGCACTGCTAAGCAAGCTGACCAATGTATGGAACAGTATTAAACTTTGAAACTACAAAAACTCTCTTCCACTATCCCAATCGGATTTATTTACTTCTCCGTCATTCAACAGCTGCATTATAACATGACTTTTCAGTTAGTCATGTGAACGCTCCGTATTGTTTACTTCTCGTAGATTACAACTCACACCCTCACCGAAGGCATGAATGTGATGSATTCGCGCGCCCATGGACCAAAACCAAGCATAAAAACACRACTGTAAGCTAGAGAACGGTGTATGTAGTGAAACTGGGAGAGATTAAGGATTTACCTTGTATCTTCTGGGCGTTATAATACAAATTCCTTCACTTTGCGCCTGTATGCGATGAGATGTGATTACACGTCCGCCATTCCATGCTTGAATACCTAATGTCACGTGGTATGGGAAACGAGGAGAGCTGAGGCGARCAACAATTCCCTAATATTTTTGGGATTCACTTTTTTTTACTTTTGGCTATAAACTTTGATATTTCTCTTTCAGAAAATTTCATATATTCATCTGAAAGGTCTAAAACCAGTTTATCAATTAAATTGGCGAAATAAATAATGAAAAAAAGGTTTACAGTTTTGGTCACGTGACAAGAGAATAAATACCGCGGTGAACTGGCGCACATGACAACCAAGATAAACAAAATGGCGGACGGACTGAGAGATCCAATGATAAGCTGAAATAACTTTAATTTAAACCTTAAAATTCGCTCTTTTAAGGCACAAGAATATGAAAAAATGACAGTAGATCTTACAGTTCGTACGAGAAGAAAGTTCTGTTGAAATCAAGCTCACAAATATGCCTAAAAAGAAGGGRAAAGGAAAGAAAAAGGTCAAAAAGAAGAGCAAAAGCGAAGATGTCGGACCATCTGTAGTTGGAAAAGTATCTAATAAGACGATGGTGCAACAGATGGCTTCAGTTTCACTGAGTCCTGTACCAGTGCGAAAGGCGACTACCCAAGAAAAAGTAAACAAAATCATTGTTTGTAGTGGAGAATTATTGTTTTACTAAAAGTTGTTGTTGCTGTATATCTAGTTGACTCAAGCGTTGGAGGACGCAGAGCTTCGTAAACAACAGAGATTTATGGGTGGCATAAGTGCTAAAGCATATGAGAAGCTAACTCCTCAAGAAATACGAGATTTAAAAGTGGTTTTTGATACTTTCGATACGGATAGAAGTGGGTAAGAAGTGGCCGGTTTTGAATGACATAACAGACACAGCAGCTGATTGACACTTGACATAAGCATTAGCATATTCTTATGTTATACCTCAGAGAGACGTGATGGCCCAGTGGTTTGGGCATTAGACTTGGGGTCGACAGGCCTGGGTTCGATTCCCAGAC